GCAGAGTTTCTTCTCTGGCCAGTCACAACATATGAACTCAAAAACACAAGAGGATTTGATGAGCTATTGCTATATTCAAGATGTGGGAGGCCGTGTGTCAAGGAATGTGGGCAGCCTCTCGGAGCTGAGAATGACCCCTGACTGACAGCCAGCAAGGAAATGGAGAACTTAGTCACACAGTTACAAGGAGCTGAGCTCTACCAACAAGAAGAATGATCTTGAGAACAGATTTTTCCTCCAGCTGAGAGCTCCAGTGGACACCTTGATTTTAGTCCAGAAGACACCTTTATTTCAGCTTTGCAACACTGAGCAGAGAACCCAGTCACACCATTCAGGACTTCTGACCTACACAGTTGTGAAATAAAAAATGAGTGTTGTTTTAGGCCTCTAGTTTGTGGTGATTTGCTCATAACAATAGATCACTAATATACCTACCCTTAAGGTCCACTTGCAGTTCTTTCTTTATGATTTCCCATAACAAGGCCCTGGCATGAGCTGTTTGTAACTAACCCTTTGAATTGCGCTTTTCTGACATGATAATTTTACATTTCTCTCCTATGACACAGGCTGCTAGATGTCCTCCAGTATGTCTGTTCTGCTCTTCCTCCACAGTAATAGAACCCCAGATTTATGTGGGCACTTAGCCATATGGTTCTCATTTGACACTTGGAAAATTACAAATCTGTTTTCTAATGTCTAAATGGGGATAATAAAGTTTTCCATCTCACTCAACATAGCACAGATTATTAAGGACTCAAATGTTACTATAGAAAGAGAGAGGTCAGTTCATAGCATGGCTAGACTAAGGAATCATCAAAAGAGTGTGTGATGCTCAAATTCCAAGCAGAAGGATATTCCCATAGTCCTAAGGATAAAAGAGTCTATGGGACAATGGAACTAAATCTGCCCTCAAAGGAAGAATAATGTTTGGTTAGGCAGGCAAGAGGGCAGACATTTCAGAATGAACAAGGCAGAAGGTGGGCAAATGTTCCAGATCAGTGATTAGTCAGACTGAAGTGAATGTTCATGCAACTCAAAGATAAGGAAGAAAAGGGAAATTGCTACAGAATTATAAGCTACAGAGGTAAATGACTGTGTGACATTTACTCTTGATTGTGGCTAGCTCAACATTACTCTTTACTGTGTAGTTTGGAGACCACTAATGATAGGGAACATTGTAAGATATGTAAAAAAAAAAAAAATAGCATTTATTTTTTTCTTTTTTTGAGACAAGATCTAGCTCTGTCACCCAGGCTGGAGTATAGTGGTGTGACCACAGCTCATTATAGCCTCAACCTCCTGGGCTTAAGCAATCCTCTCCCACCTACAGGTGTGTACCGCCATCACACCTAGCTTTTTTTTTTTTTAATAGAGACAAGGGTCCTGGACCAGGAGTGGTGGCTCATGCCTGTAATCCCAGCACTTTGTGGGATGCAGGCAAGTGGATCACCTGATTTCAGTAGTTCAAGACCAGGCTGGCCAACATGACAAAACCCCATCTCTACTAAAAAAAATAATAAATAAATACGTTTAAAAAGAAACAGAGACAAGGGTCCCCTATGTTTTGCAGGCTGGTCTCAAACTCCTTGGCTCAAGCAATCCTTCCACCCTAGCCTCCCAAAGTGTTGGGATTGAGCCATTGCTCCCTACCCCAAATTTAGCATTTCTAAATTAGAAATCATGGCCTCGCACGGTGGCTCACGCCTGTAATCCCAGGACTTTGGGAGGCTGAGGCGGGTGGATCAGTTGAGGTCAGTTCAAAACCAGCCTGGCCAGCGTGGTGAGACCCTGTTTCTACTAAAAATACAAAAATTAGACAGGCATGGCGGTGGGCGCCTGTAATCCAAGCTACTCAGGAGGCTGAGGCAAAATAATCGCTTAAACCCAGGAGGCAGAGGTTTCAATGAACCGAGATTGCACCACTGCACTGCAGTCTGGGCAACAGAGCAAGAATCTGTCTCAAAAAAAAGGGGGGTGCTGGGTGTGGTGGCTCACACCTGTAATTCCAGTATGTTGGGAGGCCAAGACGGGTGGATCATTTCAGGTCAGGAGTTCGAGACCAGCCTGGTCAACATGGTGAAGACTCATCTCTACTAAAAATACAAAAAAAGTTAGCCAGGCGTGGTGGCATGTGCCTGTAATCCCAGCTACTGGGGAAGCTGAGGCAAGAGAATGGCTTGAACCCGGGAGGCAGAGGTTGTAGTGAGCCGAGATCTGAGATTGAGCCATTGCACTACAGTCTGAGCAACAGAGGGAAACTTGGTCTCAAAACAAACAAACAAAAAAGAAATCACTGGGGAACAATTTTTGATGGTAGCAACTCTATTACACAACAGCTCCATGACATGGGTAACTTTCTATTTTTTTTATTCTGTAGCAATTCTCTGAGGTAGGTGGAAAACAAGAAATACAGCTCCCTTTCATATACAGACTGAGAAATTGAGACATAGTAGCCACTGTCAGTTGTGAGTACAATTTGTGAATTTTTTTTTTTTTGAGGTGGAGTCTCGCTCTGTCGCCCAGACTAGAGTGCAGTGGCACAATCTCAGCTCACTACAACTTCCGCCTCTCAGGTTCAAGCAATTCTTGTGTCTCAGCCTCCCAAATAGTTGGGATTACAGGCACCTGCAATCATGCCCAGCTAATTTTTTTTTTTTTTTTTTGAGACAGAGTTTTGCTCTTGTTACCCAGGCTGGAGTGCAATGGCACGATCTCAGCTCACCACAACCTCCGCCTCCTGGGTTCAGGCAATTCTCCTGCCTCAGCGTCCTGAGTAGCTGGGATTACAGGCACGCGCCACCATGCCCAGTTAATTTTTTGTATTTTTAGTAGAGACAGGGTTTCACCATGTTGACCAGGATGCTCTCGATCTCTTGACCTCGTGATCCACCCGCCTTGGCCTCCCAAAGTGCTGGGATTACAGGCTTGAGCCACCGCGCCCAGCCACCCAGCTAATTTTTGTATTTTTGTAGAGATGGGGTTTCACCGTGTTGGCCAGGCTGGTCTTGAACTCCTGACCTCAGACGATCCGCCCATCTTGGCATCGCAAAGTGCTGGGATTACAGGCATGAGCCACCACACTCAGCCCAATTTGTGAAAATTTTAATCCAGGATAGAGCTGTTTATAAAACCTGAGACTTCTATATTTAGTTGGGATGCTAGGTGTCTCTCCAAGTTTTAGGGCTCTCCTCCTGCCTAGTTTTTGGACTGCTGAATATCAGTTATATGGCTAGATTTACTTACATATTTCCATACATTCCAATACCCTTTGTGCCTGCATAAGTGAACCTGTAACTACACACACACACACACACACACACACACACACACACTCGCTCGCTCTCTCTCTCTCTGCATTCCCCAGCTCATCACAGATGAACCTTCTCTATCTAGACCACTTCAGCAGCCTCTTCCCCACATGTGAACCACACAGTGGCTTTGTTAGTAGCTCTTCCTTCCTCTCTCCAAACACTGACGTGTACACCACGCCCCACCTCCACCTCCACCCAAAACCGCAACCATTTCCCCCATCACTTTGAATTGTGGTTCTCTTTTCTTGACCAATTTTTGAAAATTCAATGTGGGTTTAAGTCATTTTCCACTTTATACGTTTTCCAATTTTTTTTAATTATACTCTTCTTTATTGTACTTTAATCTGTGTTGTGTGAGAAAGCTACAGATAAGACTATTAAAGTTATGTAAAATTGCAGCTCCTAGAGATGACACTATTAGCATTTTAATGTATTCTCTTTCAGCCTTTTTCTGTTCATCTGTATTGTGTGTGTGTGTGTGTGTGTGTTCAACTTTTTTCTCATGTGATTTTTGAGATCATTTGCATACCATAAAATTCACCCCTTAGAAGTATAGTGTTCAATTTTTATTCTTGCTCTTTTCACCTAAATATATCAAAAGCATGTCCTGTAATTGCAGCTACTCAGGAGGTTGAGGCAGGAGGATTTCATGGTAGTCAGGGTTCTCCAGAGAAACAGAACCAATTGGAGATCACATCTATCCTATTGAGTAGTGTGTGTGTGTGTGTGTGTGTGTGTGTAAAATAAAGAATTGGCACACACAATTATGGAGGCAGGCAAGCCCTAAACCTGCAAGATGAGTTGGCAAAGTGGAGACCCAGGAGAGTAGAGATTTAGTTCCAGTCTGAAGGCCAGTAGTGTCAAGAATAAAGGAGAGTTAGTGTTTCAGTTCAAGTCTGAAGGCAGAGAAAAAAACCAGTTCAAACACACATAATCAGGCAGGAAAGAATTATCTTACTTGGAGGAAGGAGGAAGGTCACTCTTTTTTTTTTTTAATTTTTTGAGTTGGAGTCTTGCTCTGTCCCAAAGGCTGGAGTACGTGGTGCAGTCTTGGCTCACTGCAATCTCTGCCTCCCGGGTTCAAGTGATTCTCCTGCCTCAGCCACCCAGGTAGCTGGGACTACAGGCCTGTGAAACCATGCCCGGTTAATTTTTATATTTTCAGCAGAGACAGGGTTTTACCATATTGGCCAGGCTGGTCTTGAACTCCTGAGCTCAAGTGATCTGCCTGCCTCTGCCCCACAAAGTGCTGAGATTACAGGCATGAGCCACCATGCTAGGACTTTTTTTTTTTTTTTTTTTTTTGAGATGTAGTCTCGCTGTCATCCAGGTTGGAGTGCAGTGTCACGATCTCAGCTCACTGCAATCTCTGCCACCCAGGTTCAAGCAATTCTCCTGCCCCAGCCTCCCAAGAAGCTGGGACTACAGGTGCCTGCAACCAGGCCTGGCTAATTTTTGTACTTTTAGTAGATACAGGGTTTCACCATGTTTGCCAGGCACCTCTTAGACTCCTGACCTTGTGATCTGCTCCCCTCAGCCTCCCAAAGTGCCAGGATTATAGGCAAGAGCCACCACACCCAGCCAGAAGGTCACTCTTTTCCTTATATTCAGGCTTTTAAAATTATTTGATGAGGCCCTCCCACACTAAGGAGAGAGGATCATCTTATTTTTTTTTTTTTTTTTGAAAAGTTAAAAATTCCTTAATTTTTTATTCCTGGTACCACTACCACAATTTACAGGGCAATATACCTGATGTAATGAAAAGAAAAAGAAAAAGACAAAGCTACAACAGATAAAAGACCTCAGGAATGTACATCTAATTGACACTACATTGCATTAATCAATAGCTGCACTTTTTGCAAACTGTGGCTATGACAGTCCTGAACAAGAAGGGTTTCCTGTTTAAGCTGCAGTAACTTTTCTGACTATGGATCATCGCTCCTTCTGTGGCAGATTTTTACAGTTCCTCTAATGCATTTGGGACGACTGTCTCAAAGTAACCTGCAGCTTTCCTGACAACTCCTCGCTCTCTCTCCTGCTAAGAACTGTAGCCCTTTTCTGCTGCTTTTAGAACCTTCTGCTACCATATCCACCACTTCCACCACCAGATCCATAACCACCACCATAGGGACTGCCCGAGCTTCTTCCACCAAAACTGCCCCCTTTCATGGGTCCATAATTTGATTGCTGTTGTCCACTATAATTTCCAAAATCATTATAGTTCCCACCACCACCATAGTTACCTCTTCCACCAAAGTTTCCACCACGGCCAAAATTACCTCCACCACCTCCAAAGTTTCCTCCGCGACCCATAAAATTGCCAGATCCACCTCCACGACCTCTCCGTGATCCAGCAGACTGCATCTCTTGTTTAGAAAGGGCCTTTTTCACTTCACAATTATGCCCATTAATAGTGTGGTATTTCTGAACAACAATTTTATCAACTGTATCATGATCATCGAAAGTTACAAAAGCAAATCCTCTCTTTTTTCCACTCTGCCTGTCTTCCATAACTTCTATGGTTTCAATCTTGCCATACTTTTCAAAGTAGTCTCTCAAATTATACTCTTCCGTATCTTCTTTAATACCACCAACAAAAATTTTCTTCACTGTTAGATGGGCACCAGGCTTTACAGAATCCTCTCTAGAAACAGCTCTCTTTGGTTCCACTACACGCCCATCAACCTTGTGTGGTCGAGCACACATTGCTGCATCCACCTCTTCAACACAAGAATAAGTCACAAAACCAAAGCCCCTGGAACGTTTGGTTTGGGGATCTCTCATTACCACACAATCTGTAAGTGTGCCCCATTTCTCAAAATGTTCTCTTAAACTATCATCTGTAGTTTCAAAGCTCAGACCACCAATAAACAGTTTTCTCAACTGCTCTGGTTCCTTTGGATCATGGCCCTCCTCCCCGCGGCGGCGACGGCGACGGCCGGAGTCGGGCTGGGGGCGACCGGGCGGCGGTTTTACCTCCATTTTGAGACCGGACTCGCCTCTTCCCAGGATCATCTTATTTACTCAGTCTATCAACCTAATTATTAATCTTATTCAAGAATACACTCACAGAAACACCCAAAATAATGTTTGACCAAATATGTGGGCACCCATAGCCTAGTAAACACAAAGTTAACCAGCATGCTGAGAAAATAAATCCTCCTATGATTTAGTCCAGTTTGGCGTGGGTTTTCCTTCACTTGCAGGCCAAAGAGACATAACTGATTATGTTGATAAAATTATGATATTATTTGTGATAATATAATTACATATTGATTATGTATGACAAAATGGAAATCAATATTTCCTGTTTTAGAAAAAAAGATAATTTTAAAACATATTGATTAAATTATTTGAAAATAATAAACTCATCACATTTTAAGATAACATGTTTTTATGAAAATAACGGGAACCCTGTAAAACTGTCTCAGAGAGACAGGCCCTGAGTGTGGCCTAGACCACACTTTGAAAGCCACAGTTACATGCTGATGAGTTCCTTGCCCTTATCATGCCAATTTTAGCAATTGTCTCTTATTTTGACTTCTCAGAATCACACCCATCTTTGTGCAGTGACAAAATTCTTCTTTCTTAAAAAGAATCTATTTGAGATGGTTCAGATGAGGCTGACCACAGCCCTTTTCCAACTCAGTAGTAAGCATGTGATCCATGATTGGCTAGTTTTTTCTGTAATTCTGATGCTGGACTTTTAGAAAATTCTCTCTCTGGAACACATGCTCTTGCTGTTGCTCTCTCCCTCCCACCACCACCCTGCAGGGTTGTGAATCTTGGGCCAACAATGGCTTTCTTGCCCTTTAAGTGGAGAGAGAACCTTCTAAGAAATGGGAAGACCCAATCCTTAGAGAAATAATTTGTGTTATTGGAGCAAGCCATGACTGAAAAAGCTCTCCTTCTTCTTCTCAGTTGTGTGAGCCAGTTTGCTCAAGTTGGGTTTCTGTCACTGGCAACTAAATGAGCTCTGATTGATACACATCATTAACATTTGCACACCATTCATAACCTTCAAAACATTAAGAGTAACATGTGGCCGGGCACGGTGGCTCACACCTGTAATCCCAGCACTTTGGGAGGCCAAAGCAGGCGGATCACCTCAGGTCAAGAGTTCAAGACCAGCCTGGCCAACATGGTGAAAACTTGTCTCTACTGAAAAATATAAAAATTAGCCAAGTGTGGTAGCAAGCACCTGTAGTCCCAGCTACTCGGGAGGCTGAGGAAGGGAGAATCACATAAGCCCAGAAGGCTGAGGTTGCAGTGAGCCAAGATCGTGCCACTGCACTCCAGCCTCGGCCACAAAGCGAGACTCCATCTCAAAAAATAAAAAATAGTAACATGAGGATTTCAGACACTGTGATAGAACAAAAGGAAAAACATTTAGGAGTATGGAATCTTCCAGACATCTAATAAAATTTGGCTGTACCCCAGAATCAACTAAGGGAGATTTTTCAAAATGCAAATTTCTAGGCTGGATATGGTGGCTCATGCCTGTAATCCCAACACTTTGGGAGGCTGAGGCAGGAGGATTACTTGAACCCCAAGAGTTTGAGACCAGCCTGGGCAACATAGCAAGACACTATCTCTACAAAAAATAAAAGAATTAGCTGGGTAGGTTGGCATGCACCTGCAGTTCCAGCTACTTGGGAGGCAGAGGTGGGAGGATCACCTGAGCCCTGGAAGTTGAGGCTGCAGTGGGCAGTGATTGTGCCACTGCACTCCAGCCTAAGCAACAGAACAAGTCCCTGTATCAATTAAAAAACAACAACAGGCCAGGCACAGTAGCTTACGCCTGTAGTAATCCCAGGACTTTGGGTGGCCAAGATGGGTGAATCACCTGAGGTCAGGAGTTCAAGACCAACCTGGCCAACATGGTGAAACCCTGTCTCTACAAAAATTAGCCCGTCATGATGGCAGATGCCTATAATCCCAGTTACTCAGGAGGCTGAGGCAGGAGAATCACTTGAACCCAGGAGGTGAAGGTTGCAGTGAGCCGAGATTCTGCCATTGCACTCCAGCCTGGAAGACCAAGCAAGACTATGTCTTAAAAAAAAAAAAAAACGCGTCTTTAGTGAGGAAAAAGAATCTGTATTATTAGTAAAGTTCCTTCATGAACCTGATGGAATCAATCCAAGACCTGGCATTTGATAAACACTAACCTAGGAACACTAACTCCTATAGGAGTTAGTAACCACAGAAACAATTCTTGATAATGTGTGGAATTCTATGCCTCTATATATACATATATTTTTCTAAAAATCCCTTGTAATTCCAGGTACTCTGCAGGCTGAGGCATGAGAATTGCCTGACCCCAGGAGGCAGAGGTTGTAGTGAGCTGAGATTCACCACTACACTCTAGCCTGGGCAACAGAGCAAGACTCTGTCTCAGAAAAAAAAAAAAAAAATTCCTTGGCTGGCACAGGAATGCCAAAATTTTCCAAAATTTACTTGAGAGAAATCCTGAAATTTGTAAATTTAGTAAAACGTTCCCACAAGGCATAGTACCCATTTATCTCCCATCAGTTTTCAGCCTAGATTATTTAGGAGTTTCTCACTATCATCTTCAACTTTCTATCTGGTCAACAGCTTTACCAACCAAATCATTAACCATATGTATCTCATAGTCTGACTCTACAGAGCATCTAGCAACTCAGCATTTTATCAACCATAACAGACATCATTCAAATGTGATAACAACTACTAATGAGGACATCAAGTTGATTATCACTATCTTGATCACCAAAGAAAAACCTAGGCCAGGTGTGGTGGCTCACACCTATAATCTCAGCAGTTTGGGAGGCCAAAGTGGGCAGATCACTTGAGCTCAGGAGTTTGAGACCAGCCTGGGCAATATGGCAAAACCTCATTTATACTAAAAAATTAGCTGGGTGTGGTGGCTCACTCCTATAGTCCAAGCTACTTGGGAGGCTGAGATAGGAGGATCACTTGAGTTTAGGAGGTAGAGGTCACAGTAAGCCAAGATCCTACTATTGTACTCCAGCCTGTGGGTCAGAGGGAGACCATGTCTCAAAAAAAAAATAGAAAAAGAAAGAAAGAAATGATGGAAGGGAGGGAGGGAAGGAGGGAAGGGAGAAAGGAAGGAAGGAAGAAAGAAAGGAAGGAAGAAAAGAAGGAAGAAAGGAAGGAAGGAAGGAAGGAAGGACAAGGGAAGGGAAGGGAAGGGAAGGGAAGGGAAGGGAAGGAAAGGAAAGGAAGGGAGAAGGAAAAAGAAAGAGAGAAAGAAAGACCTAGGAAATCCAGGCACAACTTTCTTTTCTCCCTCTCTCTTTCTTTCTTTCATGATTGCAGCTCAATGCAACCACCAACTTCTGGGCTCAAGAAATCCTCCTGTCTCAGCTTTCTGAGCAGCTAGGACTACAGGCATATGCCACCATGCTTGGCTAATTTTCGAAAATTTTTTTTTGTAGAAACAGGGTTTTGCTATGCTGCCCAGGCTGGTCTTGAACACTTAGCCTCAAGAGAATGCCTCAGCCTCTCAAAGTTTTGGAATTACAGGTGTGAGACACTGTACCCAGCAGAACTTTCTTTTTTTTTTTTTTTTTAGGTGACTCCAGTTGCCTAGGCTGGATGCAGTGATGTGATCATAATTCACTGTAGACTCCACCTTCTGGGCTCAAGCAATCCTCCCACTTCAGCCTCCCCAGTAGCTGGAACCACAGGTGTATGCCACCATGTCTGGTTAATTTTTGTATTTTTGGTACACACAGGGTTTCACCATGTTGCCCAGACTGGTCTTAAACTTCTGGGCTCAAGCAATTGGCCCACCTTGGCCTTCTAAATTGCTGGGATTACAGGCATGAGCCACTGCACCCAGCCAAACTTTCTAATTAATTGATCTTCGTCAGATTTTAGCTGATCAGTTTTGCAATTGGGTGGCTTTTGAAAGAAAATCAAGGCCAGGTGCAGTGGCTCACATTTGTAATCCCTAATCACTGGAACCCAGCAGGTGGAGGTTGCAGTGAGCCAAAATCGCACCACTGCATTCCAGCCTGGGTGACAGAGCGAGACTCCATCTCAAAAAAAAAAATCGGAGAGCCCAGGAGAAACCAGCAGCAGGACAGCCCAGCCAAACCAAAGAATTGTGAGATATAACAAATCATTGCTGTAGGCCAGAGCATTACATGAGTCGGCTGTTAAGCACCTGAATAGAGGAAGAAATTGTTTATGGGCACCCCACTGGGATGAGTCTAGACAAAGAGAAAATAGCCAACATCGCAAAGAAGTGTTTCCAGCATTTATTAGCAGATTCTAGGTCTGTCAAGGAAAGTGAAGACCTAGACATCAGATGTCACTGTGGACAGAGACACAGACCCCTGAATGAAGGTCTTCAAATTACAAGTTAATAGGCATTCAGAAGTTGCTAAGTGGTACATAAGCAGTGATTCTGCAAATCTCTGAAGTACAGTATTGGCTTGGTGAACATGATGCCTGTATTTCCTCATTGAATAGTTCCACAGAGATTGATAATCGCTGGATTGGACAATCCTAGGAGGCAGATGGATTTGAGATGTGGAAAATAAAACTCTTGGCTACTTAATGAAGAAAGAAGAACTTATATTTATTGGATGTCCACAATGTAAAGGAAATTCTTAGTCCCTATTACATTCATGTGAATTTCCCCTTTTATAGGTACAAAGAGAGTCATAATTTAAATAAATATTAATAGTTACACAACTTGTGAAGACATTCTAGTCTGGCAATTAAAACTCAAGTCTGTCTGGCCTCAAAGTTATTATTATTTCCATTGTATTCCATGCCTGAAGTCTCATAAGTAATTAAAAATGCAGCTTAAACTGGATGCTTAGACTCTTGACTTTTCCAAGCTGGTAATCTAATTAATAAGGTAGTTCTTATCAAATAACTCTAGTGATAGTATTATATAATCAATCATTAAAAAGTGTTAGAACCACAAAAAAAAAAAATCAAGACCTCTCTCTAATAAATGTTTTTCCAAATGTGGATATTATATATGAAGA